AAGTATCAAATCACATAGGGAGGAGAGGAAATGAAAATCTAGGTTTGTCATAGAAGAAGTTGGCATTTTAATAGCTGGTAGCTCTGCCCCTGCAAAACATGACAACGCTATAAATTCTGCACAAACACAAACATGCAAGTTCACACATGAAACAAGCACACAAGTCACATTGGTTGATGTATGTTTGAGTATTCATGTATTGTCCTGCATTTGAGACTTAACTGTTCAGGAAATCTCAAATTTCACCTACCCCCTATCCCCACCCACAGCTCTGTATTTACTTGAGATTGTAAGACAGAATCTGAAAAAGATCAGATTTCAGATTCAGAAATGTTGCGTAGCCATTTATCAAAAATGTCACTACTACTACAGTTACAACTAAGACCACCACTACTACTACTACTACCACTACAACTACTACTATTACTGGTGGTGGTAGTAGTAGCAGTAGTAGTAGTAGTAATGGTAGTAGTGCTGGTGGTGGTAGTAGCAGTGATAGTAGTATGTGAAAAATCCCTCAGTCGTCCATGTAGAATCCTTGGCAAAAGGAGAAATTCAATTTGTCAACTGAACAAAGTTTATTTAGTCAAATATGCTCATCCAAGCTGCTTCTTCAGTTCTGAATGAAGTTCCCCAGTTCCCCAGAGCTGAAGAAGCAGCTTCTATGAGTGATGAAACGTATTTGACCAAATAAACTTTGTCCAGTTGACAAAATTTAATTTCTCCTTTGTCATGGATTCTACCTGGACGACTGAGGGATTTTTCACATACTACTATCACTGCTACTACCACCACCAGCACTGCTACCATTACTACTATTACTACTGCTACTACTACTACCATCACCACTATTATTACCTGCACTACTACTACCATTACCGCTACTTCTACTACCACAATTACTACCACCACGACTACTAGTACAACATTATAAATTCTATGCAAACACAAAAATGCAAGTCCACACAGGAAACAAGCACACAGTTCACATTCACCCACACACTAGCCTGTACCAGCCGCACTGACACCCAATCAGCTAAAGGTGATAATCAAGGCCTATTTATGCACACTAATTAAACCGACAAGTCTGTGCTGAGAAGAAATAAACTGATCTAATTAAATCAATGATTGTGATGGATTCAATTCACACCTTCTCTGCATAGTAAAGTTCTTATTTGCAGTTTTATTTTTAGTAAGAGGTAATTATGGAATATGTGAAAATAGTTTGAATGAGTTTGACGATAACTATAAAAACTATAAAAAATGATGCATTCAAATTGTGCACAATTAAAGCTACTAAAACTACAAAATACTGTATGTGAAGAGAGGTATTTTAAGACTGCTTAAGATTGCTACGGATTCTAAAGTGGTTGCATAAGAGAACAAGTTTGATTAAATTAGATGCAACAGAGCACTTGGTTAAATGGAGAAACCAGGAAGGGCATCCAGGGCAAAAAGATTAATTTGATTTGAAGTAAGGAAACTAGTTAAAAGGGACGTCGTGGTTCATCTTGTGCAAATTTTGACTGTAATGTGTAATTAGAATCAAAGCTGGTAATATCTGGGAACACATTTTAGCAGCTGAACCTGGAACCAGTAGAAAGGTTTTGATGAAATATTTTAGACAAATAAGCTTAAAGGTGCAAGGTGTAACTTTTCTAGCGGAGGGTCTGTCAAATGCTTTTCTTTGTGGAGATGTCACTGATTTGTCCAGAATGTTTCACAGTATGGTACTAAACCATTCTATCTTCATGGAGACCAAACCGGACCAAATTACAGGTCAGATCTGTGGAGGCAACCCCGCTCACAGTCAGAATGCCTGTTTTTCAAGGTATTTTTGAGCTACAAAACCAACTGTAATTGAATAAATATAAGATAGATCTGCTTAATGTCATATTGTGGAACATTCTAAGGAGAACAATGACATATCCATAGAAACAAAAAGGTGACAGACCATCAACCAACAGGTTACACAGTCCACCTTTAGATTTAAAACAGTTATTTGTTCTTTTTGAATGAATTTTGATTAACTTTCTTACCCAAGTTTATCAAACCGCCGCTGCTTGCCTTTAAGACTATTTATTTCAGTTAAATACTTCTTTGTCAAGTGCTGAGGGGCCCGTCGAGGCATGATAAACCCGGCTTTGACCTTAATAAATACTTAATCACCCTTCATTTTGTTCATTCACGGCGGGGAATTAAGTGACACAACGCAAACAAGTTAAACAACGGGAATGGCATCCTAAATATTCAATCCAAAGACTTCTTAAAATGCAAGTTACCATGGAGCTGTTCAGAGCAAACTACCGGGGAGGACATGACAACCTCAACCACCCCCACCAACTCTTATACTCTTAAACACACATCAGCACTGAAAAGAAATGGCTACAGCTGTGGAACATTCAAGAAATTCAAACTAGAAATTAAAATGAAATGGCCTAGCTTAACCAAACCAAGTAAGTTATTGAGAATGCAAGATATTAGGGCTGCAATGATCATTCAACTAATTGTGAATAATCGATTATAAAAAAAAAAAATGTCTATGGCTGGTCGATGAAACTTTAAGTTAAGCTTTAAACCATGTAATAATGTTGTTACATAGTCAAAAACATACCCGGGATTGTGTTTTGTTTCAATCATGTTTGAGTAATCATTTATTATTAGGCTATCTACATCTCCAAAGTGCTCTCTTCCTCCTTGTGATGTCATGTAGTTTTCAAGTTAACAGCTACATTTTACCTTTTGTCCAGGATTGAAATCATCCAAATGACTCTAGTGAAGGTGTGTGGAGTTTAAAAGTGGAGCACTTCTTGTTTTACCACGTGACATCGCAAGGTGAAACAGAATGTTTATAAATCTGAGGGAAGAACTCAAGTCTAAATATGCGGAGTTTTGTGTGTTTTTGGTGGGGAAACAATATTATAACATAGATAAGAATATAGTGTAATATGGGCCCTTTAAACAATTACATTTCCAAACATCAAAATATCCTGTTTAAGTATGTAAAAAAATAATAATAAAATAGACTTATGTGCTCTGAAATGCATGTGAATCTTTTATTTGAATTTTCTTTTGAAGTTCATATTTCAGTCATCTAAAGAAATGTTAAAGCTTCTGGATCTATTCAAATTCACGGTGAGCTGAGTTTGGATTTGAAAACAGGAATCTACTGGCAAGATTTTGATTTGACCAGTATTGCAATCTGTTTCCAAAATCATGCAGCCCTAGTTTACAACACCCCAAACGGAAAAGAAATTGAAAAGGACCAAGGAAGCTAATATCACAAACTTCACTGAAATAGCCAAAAAGGAAGTAGTGGATACAACATGAGCCAAACAAAATCCTGCTGGAAGCCCGACCGTGAGGCCATCCGCTGGGCTGCAGTCACAGATCACGTTCTATTTCTAGCAGTAGTCAACAACAGACTACGCACATGGCAGCTCATCTGTTTACTCTGTCAGAGGCATGCTAGCAGATTGCCACAAACACAGAACTACTACAGGGAGCGAAAAAAGATGGCCAAACCACAATGAAAAATGTCCAATGTTTCCAGCCGCACTTCTGGTCAGTGTATATGCAAGGCTTCCAAGGCAAAGAACAAGACTGCAACTTTAAACTACACACATCTGCATGTTTGATACAGAGTAGGACAAGGATATTAAGGGGCCTTGTGAGTTTTAAGACATGTTATAATGTTGTTATCTCCTCAAAAACATACCTGTTGAGTTGTGTTTTGTTTCATTCACACAGGTTCACATAGGCATAATATCATGTTGTCAAATTAACAGCTACCCTTTTACCTTTACGTCATTAGAGATTTATTGGCAATTCCATGGCTGAAATTATCCAAATGATTCTAGTTAAGATGTATGGAGTTTAAAAACATAGTGGAGCACTTTCTGTATCACCACATGACATCACGAGGTAGAAGTGTGGAATGCTTTCTGTTTGAGAGAAGAACTCAGCCTAAATATGCAGGGTTTGTGTTTTAAACATGTGTGAATAAAACAAAACACAACTCCAGGTAAGTTTGTGATGAGGAAACAGCATTATAACAGATCAGAAAATAGCATAATATGGGCCCTTTAAGTGTAATTTATGCAATTTAGCTTGTAAAACAATATAGATGTCTTAAGCACAAATCTGGGATAGACATTAACAGCACGTAATGGAAGCCAATGAATTTCTGTGGCAACGAGGCAAGAGAAATAAAAACATATTGAGAGACATTGCATTGAGAAAACCGTAGAGAGGTTTTAAGCAAATAACTGTAATAGCTGTTTTGAAATGTCTATAGATTACAGAAAATGCATTTGGTAATGTGCAATCTGCTTCAAAGTGAGTTTTTATTTGTATAATGTTCCCTTACTTATCATTATCTTTAGATGACGCAGTTGTGCAATAACAAAAAACAGAAACAATAGAAAGTATTGTGCACGAAGAGAATCCTCTGCAAAATGTCAGAATACCACTTACATCTGGAGTCCATTTAAGCACTGGCTACCTTACGTGCTTCTATTTTAGTAGCAGTAAATGGTTTCATGACACAGATGTTTCGCTTTGTTTGTGTATACACCGCATTGAGAACAGCATAATAACAGAATCATAAGACATTTTGTACATTTTAACACATGCACACCAAACCCACCACCAACCAGTCACCACAAGAATACAGTAAATTCTAAAGAGAGGGAAGTTAGTAGTTACTGATCTACACTGTGAGTGAGTGAACCTGGAATTTGATGTGTGATTAAGTATTAAAATGCGCCTAACATTAGTGTAAAGGAGAGAACCCATCACCAAAAACACCACCGGTTAGAAAGTCATTTTGGTAAGGAAAGCAAAGAGATCTGAGGAGTCCCACTTGCTTTGCATCCTATAGTGAGCAGTGCAGGGTCGGACCACCACCAGAGGTACTATGAATGGAGGATGTAGTAATCAAGGAGGATTGATTTTAGTGGGTCCACAGGATTTGAGGGGCCACTGTGAAGTCATCCTACCTGGCTGCGTGGAGGCAGAGGAAGAGGAGGAGGAGGAAGGCTGCCTTGGGGACTTGATTGTCGAAGATTTTGCCTTTTTGGATGGTGTGACTGGTTTGACCCCAGCTTGAGGAGCAGATTTATCCAGGACTTTGGTGCGTGGTAAAGGCGGAGATGATCCTTCAATGCGCTGTTTCATCTCCGAAGACAGCAGGCGACCTTTGTGCATCCACTCTTGCATCTTGTTCACAGTGACACCGTTTCCCTTATTGGTGACACAAGTTTGAATTTGGCTTGAGTTTATTTCTTGCTTGATTTCTGATTTTGAAAGCGTGTCCGTGTTACTATCAGAGGACCCTGTTAGACTATTCATAGACCCACTACTCTCACGTAGTACAGTCTCATCCTCATTGGCTTCTCTTGGTAACTCGTCACCGCTAGCAGCATCGTAAAAAACCTGCCCTTCTGAAATCTCACCCACTCCTGCTGTAACTTTATCTTTTGACTCTGTATTCTCCTTACTACCTTCCTCCTTTTGTATTCGGCAAACTAAAGGTCCTCCTGGATACCTGATAGCTCCGTCACTAGCAGAGCGTTGTAACTCTATGGCCTTAAGATTGGAGTTCAAATCGACCATGCTTTTGCTATCACCTTTGCGTTCATGCTTCTTTGCCTGGAGATTCTCATTCACGCACTGAAGGAGGGAGTCTGTGTCCGACACCTGTTGTGGACTCTGCTCTCCCCCAGAAGACCAGGAATCGCTGTCCATGTTTTTAGCAGATAGCCGCGAGCAAAGACTGTCCCTAGAATGGCTGCTACAGGAGGACATGACCTGCTGTTCGGTCCCTCCATTAGTCACTTGCTGGACGTCCATGTTAATATCATTCATTGCGTTTATAAGGAGGTAATATGCCTCTTTAAGCTGGTTTCTTAGCCTGTCTGTCTCCTGCATTGCGCTGTCACTAACCTCTCCTTTGCCCTTGACTTTTTCAGAGGCACAGTTCGACTTGACAGTTTCATAAAAAGGCAAAATTTCATTGTCGTAATAGTCATCATCCTCACTTTCTAATCTTTCAGTGCCACATAGAGATGCCATGTTGAGGTCACAGATTTCTAGCTCTGTAGGGAAATATGTGGGGCTTTGTAGAGTAGGTGGTCCAAACTCTGGATCATAACTTTCAATGTTGTGGATTAGGATGTGCTCCTCTGGATTGGCAGGCAAGGGAACATGGGAGTTTGTGTCCAAAGTTGTGTTGCTGTCAAAAATCAATGAGTTTTGTACAATGTCTATGTGTCCAATTCTGCTTATCCCCTCTTGCCCTGTCACTACACCTGTGTTAGAACGCACTGTCTGGCATACAACTGGATTGGAGCTGTCCCCGAACCCTATTGAATCCCCGCTCCACTGCCTAGATACAAATTGCTTCCCCCAAGCTATAGTGACTTTGTTCAACTCCTGATGCCTCACGTCGCTGTCTGTTAGCACGTGTACCCCAAAGTGAACGTCTTTTTGAAGCGAAACCCCCGTGCGCTCGTCATTACGCCTGGCCACGCTCCTCGCCTCCTGAGTCGGCTTCGCTTGGGACAACTCCGGCGTTGTAGCTACTAACACAACTCCCCCTGTCTCTGTCTGTAGCAGCGCACCTTCCACACTACAATTCTCGTAAGTACTCATTCTCTCTGTCGTGCAATCCAGCTTTGAGAGATACGCTTGCTCGCAGTCTATCAAAACTTTTGCGTTACCTTCTCGGCCCCCATACGCAGCCGTGGAGTCGTAACCACCAGCACCGCCGACTGTAGCTCCTTTCTTGGACTTCTTCCCCCGGAGTTTTGCTAGTAAAGTCCTCCGCAGAGGGTCGGCCATTCCTTTCCGTTGCCTCCCAAGTTAAATCCCCGCGTTTCGGTTCAATAGCGCACAGGCTCCGTAAAGGAAAGGGACACCGGGTGAGTAGTGCTCGCTGGCCGCGGTCAAAGCTCGACGCGCGGCCGGACTGCTCTCCATTCTCCGCTGTCACCTCCTCTCTGCCGCTCGGCTCCAGGCTTCACTTGCTTAGCTTCGTCTGCACACCTCTCCCTCTCTCACACACAAACTCCACACCGTTCCCTCCCTCCTCCTCTCACGCTGGTTGTCCCGGGACTCTTACGCCGTCTCTCTAGCGCCCCGCCTCGCCCGCTCAAAGTGTTTGCACTATGCAGAGTGGATTTTTGCCATATTTCCCTTGGCTCAAAGTTCATGTCTTGTTATACTTTATTAGCCCAGAGAACACGCTCTCCAAACTTGTTGGACAAATTTGGTCAAGTAGTGGCACCAAACATGACGCATTAGCACTGGGCCCGTGCCTTGTGGTCTGGGTTTAAAAATGTTTAAAACCGTACTTTTCTAATAGCCAGAAATAAAGTTAGGCCTTATGCCTATTTGAATATGGAAAAAAATATAATAATGTTGTAAATATGGAAAGAAGAGAGACAGAGAGAGAGAGAGAGAGAGAGAGAGAGAGAGAGAGAGAGAGAGAGAGAGAGAGAGAGAGAGAGAGAGTTACCAATGTAAGCAGACACGGGGTTTAGTGTTAAGTGACTTGCTCAAGGACACAACAGCAGTATTCAAATGCTGCTGCTATATAGGCCTATTGAGTTGAGTTATGAGGGACATTATGAATATATTCTTTGCCAAAATCAGGGCTATAATCACTTGAGACAGTAAAATAATGATTATGACCAGTTTGTTCCATGCATCTTCATAGACACACTTATGCCTCCTTATCTGATTAATGGCAGTTCTATATAATGTAAAAAAAAAAAAAAAAGTGTACACCAAATAACACTGGTGTTTGGATCACAGCTTTCAATCTTTTCCCTTAGTTATGTTAGACTTTTACTCTACTTTTACTCTATTTTCTTTGGCACAATCACAGGTGTGAAAAATCTGGAAAAATCATGTTACCCACTTCAGATTCTTGCATTTACATTGATTTTAAATATGTAACAGTTACCAGATAATCAGATAATGATCACATTTTACACGTAAACAAAGCCAGTTTTTTAGCTCAACAGATTTGTGAGCAGAGGTCAGAACAGGCCACAGCTCATGACCTGTGCAGAATCACTCCAAAGCCCTCTCCTCCTGACAGCACCTCTGTCTCTGCAGCTCTCCCTTTCCTCAGGCTCTGTGGACACAAACACAGAGCATAGCCTGCAGGTTTTGACCTGTAAATAAGTGCCCAGACAAGGTCTAGTCAGGCAGTCGGGAGGCAGGCTGAGGCGTCAGGCCCTCACATCTCCTGCAGAGCAATAACAGATGCTTATCATCCTCTGGAGCTGGAGGAGGAGAGAGAGAGGGAGAAAAAGAGAGGGGGGGGAGATGGGGTTAGAATGAGGGACATGGGGGCCTGTCACTGATCTGACAATAACTGCCCTTTGTACAATGACACTCTGTTCAGTGCAATTGTAACTGTTCTCCTTCATTGTGTTTTGGTAAAAAGGTTTGTTTTTTACTAAACTCACACTATGTAACTTTTCTTTTGGAGCGCCTGCCATCTGTTTGTTTTAATGCTGATGGTATTGTTTTGTTTGGAATGCTCCACACTATGGGGCATTGTGGGATCTGTGGAGACAAGCAGGTAATGGCCAAGTTGTGGGTCAGATCTCTATAGAGGTAACCCTCCTCATAGTAATAATGCCCCTTAGCGCCCTCACTGTAGAGTGCATTTTTTTTTTTTTTGCAATAAAATAACAGTAATTGAAGAAATGTAAGGGGTAAAGACTACTTGTTTACGCATAGCCAGCGTGCACCAGGAGGCTCTGAAGAAGTCTGTATTGTGCATTTTTCAAGGACAACAGGTCTTAGTGTGTTAGTACCCAGATCTGTTGTTGCACTGTTTTAGCCTGAAGAAAATGTTTGATTCTCTTATTCCCATAAATGAATATAAAATATTTTTATACAATACAATTTCAGTTTAAACATGAAATTATATTTCTTTTTAAGGTATTTTTTAAAGAGTTGATGTTCAAATGATTATTATTTGAGTAGTGATTTTTTTTTTAACAACCTTTCTCTGCACTTATTGAATGTAGTGTACATACAAAGATAGACATAATATTCCTCATGCTGTTTGTGAGTATACTCAGGACTGCACATGTGCACTGTTCCAGCCACTGCAGCTTTTCAGCAGCTCATCTCTCAGCACATTCCAGGTGAAGGCAACGGCAAACAAACTGCTTAAGGTTCAAGTGGGTTTCATACCTCTCTCTGTGCTCGGAGCCTGAGGTGGTGCCTGGAGCAGACATGCAAGGTCAAATGTGAGAGGAGTATTCAAAAAGATACACTTGAGAAAACATATGCCAGTTATTTTTGCCAGTGTAACAAAATATATGTGCGGTAATCAGTACCTTTACTCCTTTAGTTATATTTACTCGAGTAACTTTTAAAATAAATTGTACTTTTCAGAGTACTTTTCTTGTAGCATACTTTTACTCCTACTTGAGTTTTTTACTGAAATAACAGTACTCTTACTTGAGTAAAAGTTCTCCCATTGTGAGTAAGTCTGCAAGTGACAAAAGGTTATATTGACAATATTAAATGGTTTGAACGTTTGTATTTCTTGCACCACTTCTTCAGATATGATTAATTTTGTCAAATTTTTTGTCTATCCTTTGAAAATATAATAAGATTTTGTGTATTATTTAAGGTTAAGGACTAATAAGTAATTTCTTGGAACACTACTTTACTACTGTATTTCTACTTCAATATTATTTTGAAGTAACATTACTCATGAGTACAATTATCCATGTCTGTTCTGTAGATGTTTCATTGAAAAATTGCATAATGAGGAAAACCTATTAACTCATTTGTAAAGGTTGAAACAGTTTCAAAGCATTGTCAGCATATCTTTCCTGCTGATTTGACTAATTTTCCCTTTTATTTGTTGCAAGGGCCCAGCTCATCCTCCAGAGACTAAAGCACATTACCTGCAGTTTGATGAAATGCCTTCACAGCTACAAGCAATTTGACCTAGCTCTCCACCACTGAATGTAAGTTAATGGAACAAATAGGGCCATACATTTCAATTTGGTTGCACAACACACAGTGAGCACCAATAGCATTATAATACCTATATGCATCTCAATTACATTTCAGATATTCTTTCTGTTAGACACTGATCATGCAGTGATTAAAGGGCCCATATTGCGTTATTTTCTGATCTCTGTTATAATGTTTTTTCCTCATCACAAACATACAGTACCCGGAGTTTAACACACAAACTTTGCATATTTAGGCTGAGTTCTTCAGGTCTGGAATTGCCCATCTTTACTGAACTAAAGGTATATTGTAGCTGTTAACCTGAAATCTACCACTAGATGACGTCACAATGTAGAATAGAGCATTTTGATCTTTAGAGATGTAGACAGATTAACGCAGGATTACTGAAACGTGTGAATGAAACAAAACAGGAATTAAGAGCATTATAAGAGCACTACACATTATTGTCATTGCTAATATATATATATATATATATATATATATATATATATATAAAGATGGTAGCAAAAAGAAACAAAAAACTAAAAAGAAAAACCCTGAGATATCCGTTTTTGCTGTTAAACTATTAATTTGCCATAATATGTTTTTTGTAGACCCCATATCCCACTCACTCAGGATCAGGTGGTCCTCCCTACTCTCTCCTCCCCTCTCCTACCCAGTGCTCTTTGTCAGGTGGTGGTGATAGAACATCTGCCTGCTGCCCTGTGTGTATGGGGCAGTGAGGGGAGCCCAGTGCTTGGATAGGGGGCTGTGCAGCTGTTGGTTGGTCCCCTCCTGATGGCTGCTCCATTGTTCTGTCCCTCTGTGTCTCCAACTCCCTCTGTCCCAGTGCTTTATGGTCCGCTTCTTTCTCTCAGAGGCACGGTGTGGGTAAATTTATGTCTCCAAACGCAAGTCTTTCTCAGGGCATAAATCAGACTGAATGATCCCTGTCAGAGGTCTGTTGCCAGGGGGTTCACGGTTTTATGTTCCATTATTGTAATATCGTTTCAATTTTATTTTATTGCCAAAAAAAAAACAAAAAAACGGGGGGACTGTTGAGATTTTGTTGGCAAAATGTCAACTTTAAATTTGTATGTCTATTATAAAACCATCTTAGAAGAAAAAAAAAACTAAACATTTTTGTTATAATAATAATAATTATTATTTTTTTACCTTTTTAAATGTGTACTTTTGTTTGAAACCCATGTCATTTAACATGCCCATATTAGCCTATTTTTGAATCTATGTTATAATGTTGTTTCCTCAGGCTGAGTTCTTTTAAACAGAAACACTCTGTTCCACCTTGGATAATTTCAGCCCTGGAATTTCCTATTTCTACTGAAGAAAAGCCACAAGATAGAAGTTAAATTGAAAACTACCACTTCATGACATCACAAGGTAGAAGAGAGCATTTTGAGCTTTGGAGATTTAGACAGACTAAGAATAAACAATTACTCAAACATGTGAATGAAACAAAACACAACTCAAGGTATATTTTTGATGAGGTAACAACATTATAACATAGCTTAAAGTTCACAAGAGTCAATTTAAGATCTTTAATAAATGCAAAATAGACTGTGGAAGATTCCAGATGCAATAATATCTCCTGGGACACAAGTAGGTAGCAAACCCTCTGCCAGAAAAGTTGTGTAATGCATCTTTAAAAATGATTAAACAATTTTGTTTTTCCCCCTTGACCTTTTTAGTCTGTTCTCACACCATTCTAAACAAATATATTTTGTTATTTTAATTAAATTGATATATCTAAAGCAAATAACACAGGCATATTATGTGTTTGGTATCTATGGTAACTGGATTCTGAATACAGACAGTGATATCAGGGAAACAGCCGTTATCATAATGTGTTTTTTGAGCTCACCTGAGTCATATCTGTATCCATATTGGTGGACCTGAGATTTGCCCTTATTTCAATAAAACTGACACACATATGTAGTAGGGGCAGGTTTATTCAGGTGCAGGAGTTTTGATTTCAAGGAAGTTTGCACAATATTTTGATTTCTTAATTCTAACAGGAAACTGCTTTGATCTGGTGAAAACAAAGATTTAGTGTTAGTTCTGACTGGTGACTGGATCTGATTTCAACGATCATAGACAATAAGAAAAGTAAATGCAAAACATGACGGGACTCACAAAGCAAAGTACAGACAGGAACTGGGTCCTTCCTATGAGTTAAATCATTGCTAGAGCAACAACTTCACTCTCTTTATGTGATTTGAAATTCTTCTAGGGATGTGTGCAGTGAATGGCCTGAGGCTGACGAGACAATGTGGTGGCAGAGGTCAGATAACAGGCACCTCACAGATCCATCTCCTGCTGTTCAGTTCTTCACAGAGCTATCAGCTGAAACACTCTCATGAGTTTATCATCACGAGGAGGTAGGCTAGTCTCTGCTACTGCTGTTGCTTCTGTTCTGCTCAAAGACCTTTGTACAAAGTAAAATCATGTTCTATACATGTTAAAACCATACTACAACTACTAATGAATATATGTTTTATGCCATACTGGGGAACAACATTTCTATAACAGACAGGAGTCCCTCCTCCAAGCTAAAAGTCAGGTTTGTGGAGATGCAAGCCTACCCAGAGTAAGGACACGTTTTTCAAAATAAAAACAAACCTGCTTTTATTTTATTCTATTATTAGAAGGTTACATGCCATATCTAATCTATAATATATTTTGTTCAACAATTTATGTACCACACAACTGCAGTTTGGGGTAAATGATAACATAGAGTGCTCAAGTACAATCTGGTAGGCTATTTGCTACTGCTGTCTTTAACAGGGCTTCAGGAGGCTGGTTTTCTGTTAATGTGTTTAGGTTGTGTGAAAAACAACTGTTTGCTTCTAGGAAACACTGCTGATATAACCACAGGTAACACAACAACAGCAAAAGAAACTGTGCAGATAAAAAATGCCAATAAAAGTATATGTTTCCCACACAGAGACACGAGCCAAGTCCTGGTATTGTGTTGACTGCATGAATGTGTCATAAGTCATAGAGCACAGCCTTAGGCAGCCTAATCTGCAGAGGCCACAGAATACTCAATAGCCATCATGAGGTCCTGACCTTCACGTAAACATGTCAGAGAGACAAACAGCCTGTGTGACAGACACTGGTCCAAGGAGTAAGACTTTAGCACTGTTTTAACCTAGTCTTGGTTAATTCATCATTCACCTGAAACAGCACATATTTGGTCATATTTGGTGATAAGACCCAACAGACATTTAACGGTGCGTTTGTACATTTTCCTTTGTTGAAAATGTTTAGGTCAACTATTTTTTATTTCTTAACTGGAGATAAGGCCACCAATGTGTGAAATGCGGAATTGCAAAAATGTGTTTGTTAATGTGAAACAAAGAGGCTGATGTCCAGGAATGATGCAGACATGGCCACCACTGCTAAAGTGGTACCTACAATTTTCCCAGAAATCATGTTTCATAACATGTTATTTCAGGAAAACCTCCAGTGTGGAGACAGGCGGATGAGTAACTGACAAACAAAGATTGCTGTGGACCCACTGGTCATTTCTCATTTCCACCAACAGTCATTTTTCAATATGGTTGATAACATCAGTCTGCTGCTGTTGCGGGGACCAGATACTCGTCTCAGGCAAGGCCAGGCACATACCTGTGAGCAGGAATTTGATCAAAAGCATGTTTACCGCTATTTCAGGTGAAGCCATGATGATAGATAGGCTTGGAATTTCTCTGATCGCAAGTGTTTCAAAAGTGGAAATAAAGTCAAAAGGCACAAAACAAGCTTCAAAGTTTCAACTATTTAAAATGGCAAATTATTAAAAATACTACAAATTAAACGTACAATAAAATATTTTATTGCTTTTTGGGTCACAGTATTGGAAGTTATAGTAAAAACACAGCTAATTTCACTGAAACGATTATGAAGCAAAGTTATAAACCACTGCAGTTCCTGCATTGTGCTTTGCACCTGAGCAGCACATACTTCAGAAAGTGTCAGAAAGATGTTCCTATATTTCAGACTGTGTCAAGGAACTACAAGATTACAATGTAAATGATAAACTTACAAACCAAGTACTAACTTCATAGCAGCACAGAAAACATGAAGAAGTTGGAGAGTCATATGTTGTAAAATAGCGACATCTAGTGCTTACACCATGCAAGGAGCTAAAAGTCTTAAAATGTTTTATAGACTGCATTCTTTTTTAAATTAAATTAATTCTTGGAATATTTTCTGACTTGACTGAATTTATATAAAACACAAATAGCACACATCTATGAAAATCATCATGACACATACTTAACCAAATTTCACTGTAAAATCTACATATTTATAATCTAAATTGGGGAAATAAAAGCTTGTATGTATTGTATTGAAACATTAACAAACACAGTATGGTAAAGTGGACCTCGGTAAATATACCTTGGAAAGCACTGGCTTTTCATAAATAGCCAGGCATAGAGTTCAGTTATTCAGCATTTTGCCTTAAGATCCTTTTCTCCTCCTCCACAAACGTCTTATCAGAAGTGGCCTGTCCCATGTCCCTCTTCCTTTTCTCCTTCTGCTGAAATGTCTCCACGCGTTTCTTTTTGGCAGAGGTCTCTGACTTCTCAGGTTCTTCATCTAAAAAAAGAGAAAAACTTGATGATGACAAGATCAAGATTAAGACAACATTGGACAAATGACTTTTGAATGAAATAAGTCATTATTCCATGAAGTTATAGTACAACTAATATCAAGGATGGTTGGTAGAAAAAAACAAAAAAAAAACTGTATACCTGGGAGTTCAATTTAGAAAGTGACAGTGCAATAAACTCAATTGGCACTACCACCTCAAAGAAATATGTAGCATGATTATGCTATATTAATAATATTATAATTTAGATATTTAATATCCTAACTTTCACAATGTGAAAGTTATTTAACATTATTGTAAAGACAGAGGTCTATTAAAAACACTGGATTGAGTATTATTGTATTCTGTGTCTGAACATAAGTGGCTCTAATCCTTATGTCAGTTGTTAATCAGATGATAGTTTGTAATCCTTAATGGGATAACAGTCTCACCTGACTCAGACAGCTGCTCCTCAGGTGGGAGGAAGCGTGCTTTGCCAGAGTGTGCAGGTGCATCTGCCCCATTGTCCTCATACACATTGGACCATTTTATGGCCATGTCCATCCCTGGAGGAGGCCCCTTCTTCTTCACTGGCTCTGGTGCAGCACTGTAGCTCTGAGGAGGGGGCACTGCATTGGTCTTCCATGGCGTGAACTCTTTTGGAGCCTACAAAAAATAATATTATAGATGGCATATTTGCAATGAATAAGATACTCCAAAACCAGATAAACAATAATCATTCATAGCATCATGTCTAACAACAAACTAGACAGACGCTATCTCACTGTAGTCGTTTGTTATGGCTAAAGAGTTAAAACATGTATAGACTACAAAATCTACTCAGATAACTATTTTAAAAAGACTAGTGTGTGTGTGTGTGTGTGGAGCTTACCTCTTCTGGAGCTTTGACCACAAGACTATCCCAGTCTATCTCCTTATTGAGCGGATTGTACAGGAACGCAGGTCTGGATACAGTCCCGAATAGCTCGTCCGGTTTGGGTAAAGGGGCACCACTGGCAGACCTTTTAGTCCCTTGTTGGGGAGGCTGGGGATTGCTCCCTGAAGCATCTTTGTCCAACTTCTGGCTGTTTTTCTTTCGGCTGTCTCCCTCCTCTTCATCTGAGTCGCTAGCGTTGCTGCTATCACTTAGGTCATCGTAGCTCGAAAAGAAACCCATAGAACCAGACTTCTTTTCTTCAGACATGTTTATGGTTAAGCTTGATTTCTGGTCACACCAAGATTTATCAAAACTGCGGTGTTTAATTGAAGAAAGAACTCACAGAAACATGAAACCCTACTCCATTTTGAATCAGCCTCCAAAACAATCGTAAAGATGCAAAATGTGTCGTAAAACCAGTCGCAATTCTGGTTTCTTTACGTCTGCAAAATAGATAAACAAAATATTACAAAAAAACAAGAAGACGATGGATACTTTTACAGAAGCAAAACCTTAAGTTGGTAACTTAAAAATAAGGCGAAATTTAAGTTTATCGTAGACTTCAGTGAATATTACTGTTATGACTTTATTTGACCACTAGAGGGCGCTAAAGTCACACAAATGATGTGGAATAAAAAGTGTCAGCTCAAATGAATAGAAAATAGTTCAATGTCGTGATTTACTAGATAATTCACATGTTTAATGTCAATTTCTTCTCTCCCTCATGTTTTAGATCTTACGGATCATGTGATTGCTCTTTTCACAAGATGATGAATGAATGAATTCTCTTGGCTATGGTTGCCACATGTGCAGCATACCCCCTGTTGGTGAAAGATTGTTAACTAGTGGCTGCACATGGCTAGTTTGTTGTAAATTAACCCTTTTCTGTCAACACTGAAATGTCCCTTTTCTGCCAACACTGAAATGTCTTGGCCTTCTTTTTGTATTCAGCATGTCTTCTGGTGACTGAAAGCACTTAGACCTTACATTTTTAGCTAAGGCTTCTAATGCTGTAGGTAGACTCGCAGGGGCCATTATTTACCCACAGTGCATGGGTCAGGCACCTTCTAAAGCCCACAGCATCAGTATACAGATATAAATCTACTAGATATACTGCACAGGGCACACCTTCTTGTTTTACTTCCTTTCCACTAGCTGTGCCTTTACCCTTGATTGCCCAATAATCACAATTACAGATGCTTTTTACATTTTTGGTTGACTTGTTTAAGATTTACTGGTAGTCTAATTGCCTCCCAGTTGTGCAGTTGAAACTCTCTAATAGCCTGATTATTGAAATAAATGTATCTAATTGCATATAAAAAGTAGGCCTGATATATCTTAATTGTGAATGGAAGATAAATGTTCATATATATTTTTATGTGCATTAAACCATGTTATAATGATGTTTCCTTATCTTAAGCTTTCTCACAGTTGTATTTTAATTGATTCATACATTTAGCAATCATTTATTGTTGTGCATTTGAGGCCTGAGTGGTATGAAAATGTCTTTTCACCTACCCCTATCTCCACCCACTTCTTTGTAGTTATTTGTGATTATTCAGAATATTCAGACTCTGGATCATACATGTTTGATAAAAAAATGTCACTGCCTTTTTTCAACAATAAAAATGATTAAATTATGAAGAGGTGGATCCTATCTCTTTTGCTGTTTTAAAAGGGAATCCCGTGAACCAGCTTCTATTATTAAGGCATTTTAAATCAATTTACCATCTACAAGGATATAAATAATACTAGCAAGTGAAATTACATAGATGAAACAAGTTTAGGTCCCGAAGGGTCAAGTTTTGTTTAAGTTTTACAATCTTGACTTGTTTTTAAGTTCTTTTGTGACAGTTATAAACTAATGATACTGTCCAAGGATGTAAGTTATAACCGAAGCACATACAGAGTGACAGGTTATTTTCACAATATATTTTTCTTTGACAGTACGGTGACTATTTAGACCCAAAATACATTTTTGAACTTTGCAAAGGTTAAAAACTCATAACCCCGAGGTCCGATGATGTGTAAAGCATTCATCATATACAGGAGGAGACGCAAGCTTACATCCTCATTATCAGATATACTTCAAGGCATTAGCTCAAATTGATTGTAGCTACTAACAGTTTCTAGAAGGCCAATATGTTTAACTTCTTCACCAAGCCTGGCCATGATGTGTGAAATTCCCCAAAGAGACGGTAAACCACACCTTCTTACATCTCTGTTTAATCTCTCCATTCATAATGTTTTTGTTTCGTTTCTTTAGGCTCAGTTTTGGAGGCTGTCTCAAGACGTTATGAGAGTGGGTGGGTATTTTGGTAAGTCAGAAGCAAATACCAAACTTACCCCAGTGTTTATCAGAGTGTGTCATTAGTTTATCTGCAGCTGTTTGGCAGTTTAAAAGCGCATTTCTTCCTCCTGAGTATAGGTGTTAAGTGTATGAATCCTGTTTGCACTTTAGATAATTGAACCTCAGCCACCACAAACTACTTGTGCTCGTAAAATACAAATGTTGCATCACTCTTTAGTTTTAGAAAGTAAGCACTACTGTACACTTTTACTTAAGAGGATTCTTTAAGCAGTAAGAGTAGAATAGTAGTAATAATATCATAGCATTTGCATTAGTGGAAGTCCTATATTTAGAAATAAGAGTTGGCAATATATATATTTTTTTAATTAATCCAGAAATATAGTCAATAAATGTCAGCAGTCAAGAGAGAAACTTTATTTGAGAGAGATACAAGAGGGAGAAAGAAGGGAGAGAATTAAGTTCAAATGTACAACAAATTGCTATTTCAAAAAGGTAAACAGCTTGACCATATTTGAGTCAGTTTTCCGTTAATCAAGAAGTATGCTTTGTTTTTGTTATATTTATGAACTGTCAACATAACTGTTGTTTGGTTTGGTTGGTCACCAAAATGAGCCTTCATCAGCTGGAGAGGTTGGGTCTCATGATTAATGTTTATATAAAATGTCCCTGCATTGTTTACTGTTTAGTATTTTTACTATATTGGAACTAGTGGTGGTTCATTTGTGGTCAGTTTAGATTTCCCCAAAACTGCTTGGGCACGTGTGACAGTAGGCCTGTCACGGTAACAAATTTGGAAGTTCAATATATTACTGAAGTAAATCACAAAAAGTATTCTAAATCTACAATATTGTTAAAAAGACACCGACTGCAATAGATAAAGAGCAAAATAAAACAACTTCATTCTTAGCTTGGATCTGTAATGAGTCATAGAAGTTATTAATTCAACTTTTTATAGCTTACAACTTATCATATAGCCAAAAAATAACAAAAAATTTCCCACTAGTGCAAAGAAAATGTAAACATGATAAATACTGACCCCCAAAAATAGAAATGGATATAGTAATTATCTTGACAGGCCTATGTGAGATTATGTATGAGATGAATGTAGCAGGTTCTAAAATGACTAAAAGCCGTAAGCAAAGGATAAACTGACAGGGAATCTTCAGATTCATTTTGTCCTGACACTGTAGCAACTGTTCAGAACAGAGGTACAGTTTGAACTTTTGAACAGTTAAAAGCATTTGACTAATAGGTAGTCCTCACGGTGAACTTTAACCTCTAACACTGTCTGAGTAGGTTTGGCACACTGTACTATACTGAACTTTTCCTATTTGTCCAAGTGTCCAAGTGACTTCCATAGGCCTGTCACAATAACAAATTTTGAAGCACAATGTATTACTACAGAGAAATATTGCAATAAACAATAGTATTGAAACTGCTCTATAGCACTGACACAAAAGCAATAAAGCAGGATAATCATACTACCCATTAGCCATTTTTAAATGCACAAATTAATAGCAAAATTTACCAATAATTAGCCATAGAAGTTTTTTATACAACCCTCTACAGCTCAGATCTTATCGTATTACAACAAAAATAACAAAAATCTCACTCACTATTGCAAAGAAAAATTCCCCATGATAAATATTGATCCCCAAATATATATTATTCCAGCTTTCATATACTGAATGACAAATTTGTATAATAATTATTGCGACAGGCCTATACCTCTATTGTTAAACTGTTAACAGTGTTGTTATTTATTTAATTAGTTCCTGTCCAGATTTCTCTAATTATCCAGCTTGCACAAAGAGTACACTGGATTCTGAGCTGTTGACCCTTTCACTACTCCTTTTGTAATGGATTACTAACTACTATGATGGATATTTGCACCCCCCTGTGGTAGAGTCAGACCATAACCTTCTATATCAATAACAGGATTGTAACAGTATTCATCCAGACTGAGAAGATTTAAAAAGAAGACACCTTGACTTGGTTTATTTGAAGACATAACATTTTCTGTTTCATTACAAAAACTGAGAATGCCTCATGGATCAACCCCAGATGATTTATTTTTAATACTTTGATGTGTGTTTTCTCAATGGCTTTACGAGATTACCATGGAAGTGAATGTAAAACTGCTTATTGTGTAGTAACAGAAATCACACATTGAATCACAATAAGCAAATCAATTATTTAAAGGTGCGCTGGGTAATTTTTCTGGTGGAGGGCCCGCCACTTGCTTTTCTCGTTGGAGATATTACTGTTTTGCCTTAGATGTCCCACAGTATGGAAGTAATCAAATCAAAATCAAATCAAATCAAATTTATTTGTATAGCACATTTAAAACAGCCAAAGCTTACCAAAGCGCTGAACAACATTTACAGTGAAATAAAACATACAATAAGCAAATCAAGCAGAATTATAAACTGTTGGAAATAAATGTGGTAATCACAATGGAGACAGATGAATGGTCAAGTCTGCAGAATTCATGTTTTTCAGTTATTTTTGAGCTATAAAACACATGCAGTTGAACAAATACAAGGGAGATTTATTTAATGCCCTACTGTGAAACATTCCTGGCAAAGAAATAACATCTCTATAAAGACAAGCTAGTAGCATTTGTTCCACCTTAGAAGTTACACAGTGTACCTTCAAAGAACCTAATTTATCTTATTATGTATGCAACCAAACAATCCCATAATTTTGACTTCTTCAAACATGTTCTGAAATCCATAAAATTCTTGTATTAGTTTAAGAGTTCGTATTTCCGTCTTTTCTTAAATATTAATGCTCCCGGATGGCATGCAGCAATAATATGTGTATATAGTGGAATATTACAGAGCAGAATCTCAGCACCTGGAGCCATTGCATATTCATGGTCCTGTACCTTTCCAGCATTTCTTGATAAATATCTTACATTGCAGCTTTGATCTCTTTTTCCGTGACTCCATTATGGATGCAGCCCTTATGATCAAATGTAAAAAGGGTGAGGTGGAAATAACATGTGGTGTCCTGACTGGCTTTTTACACCTTTTTTCCAAACTCACAGCTGTTTGTTTAAGTTGGAAGTCAAACTGCAACATAAGTGAAGAAGCTAT